ATGATAAAATAGCACCATTTTCTCTTCAGCAATTGTCAATAATGATATAAAATATTAACATTTTCATCACTTGAAATGGTTTTCATATTATTCTGTCTTTTATAAAAATATACCTCACATCGAGAGGAAATCGATCATAGAATTATCAGTGAACTTCCACACTTTTCACATTAGATTAAATCCCATTTGTGCGAGCGCGCGAATGAGATTTTCTCATTGTTCTCTATATCTGATCGCAAACTCAAAAAAATTAGTGTGAAAAATTCACCCTACCAATTCCGAAGGAAAATTACACGATCGAACTTCATAGCAACAATCATCGCGGAATATTTTTCGTGGAATTTTTTTCCGAGAGCACTTTCGGAATGGTGAGAATCGACTAGTCGCTAGACAATAACTCATTCGCGTCTCTTATAAAATGAGATTTACTACGGCGACTTTTCGCACCTCCTTAGTTTTCCGCAGACGACTTCTTAATCTCGTCACCTCGCCCCTTATCCCGTCCACCGACAGCGATCTAATTTTCCCCCCAAAAAGGAAAGGGTTTTAATCATTTATTCGTCGCTTGAATCTGCTCGTCCTTGATTAATTGAAAGATATTTAAATTATTTTTTTCATCGACTATAAGTTGTTACTTATGTAAATTTAATTATCTCTATACACTGTTAGAAATGTTTGTGAATATCCTTACAATAAAAATGTGCAAAAATTTACAAACCATGTAACATATTTTGCTGTAATTTTACAATATTTACTGTAAATTTACAATAGAAATTTGTTGTAAATTTACAAAATTAATGTGCCACGCATGCGTATTAGAGATTTGCATATACTTTACCACAAAATATTATTGTAATTTCACAATATAATATAACTGTTAAAATTCACAACACATTTTTGTTGGATAAAAACTTTCAACACTATTGGAAGTTTATAACAGAAATTTCTTACAATGTATGTAATCTTTTGATTAATTTTTATGTGTACAGTAAATACATAAATTTTATCATGTTTTCAGAAAGTATTAAATAAATCCATAATATATATATTTCATAATTAATAATAAGTGTGACAATAATTAAAGCATACTTCATATCTCTGGAACAACAGTCGTTTTGATAAAAATTTAATTTTCCGTGAACAATATTTTTATCTATAGAACTTTTTAAATATTACAGTCCGCGAAATAAAATGTACACAAAAATATACGAAAGAATGATTTTGATGAAAAATTTAAAAGTTTGCTAAATATCTGAAAATAATTCTGTTAGACCATCAGAAAAATTTTATTGGAAATTAATCTAGACACTTGCTAGAATATCAAAATTTTTTTATAGCTCAACATTTTTTAGTTTCTAACAAAATTATTTTGATGGTACAACAAAATCATTTTCACATGTGTGTCCAATAAAATTTTAAATCTTTCAGCAAAAATCGTTCTTTCCGTGTATATAAAAAAAAAATTCACATATTTTCTTTCTTCGATAATCGATTTCTCTTACACATGTCCCACATTCTATTATACTATCCACAATGTAATATCGGCTATTTCAATTTTCTTATATTTATACGTGCAGTCAAGATTTTTCCTGTCGGTATCGACGAGAACACTGCGAAAGTGCACCTGGCACTTTGACGGTTCCCTTCTTTAGTCGACTTCACGGTTCGACGCCGAGGTATTATAACTTCGTATGCGCCGACAATCCGCATTCGCTTCCAAATCTACGCAAACTTCTCCGCAGGTCGGACGGTGAGATTCGTGAATCACGCGGTCAAGATTTGCAATTCTTCTACTTTTCTGCCATCCGACCCACCCGAGGGTCCACGACGAATTCTAAATTTCCTCGAAATTGAATGCGACGGGGAAGTTCGTCGCGATTTCGCAGCTTTCACGACCGCAGCGTGAGAACGTGTAACCGGCATTGTAACTTCCGTATGCAGCATCTGGTTCCATCGGAGGAGCACATTGCGCGCGGTTATGGTTGCACGACGATATTTAGAACGTCTGGATAACACGCGTCGAAGTTTAAGTTGAAGTTACTCGCTGACACTCGTAGGTATCCGCTTTCCTACGTGAACTCGTGAATTCACGTCTCGGAATGCGATTATAATTTATGTAACTAGTAACTATACTAAATTCATAAAACCATATGCTTTCATCTTTTGTAATGATTGTACAAACGATGTTAATCCTCTGAATCAAAATTAAGATCCCTCCCATTTCAGATTTCTTTTTTTTTTTTCAGATATAACTAATAAAATATTTCAACGAAACTTTACATTTTTAAATAACTTTTCCGATTCTGTCAGTTTGATTTAGATATATGCATATGAATGTATTTATGTTTATATATTTATATAATATATTTTCATTTGCTTTTGTTTCGATCAATTAATTATCAATTCTCCGTACAATGAAATTCGTACAATATATTTGGAAATGTTATATAAAATAGCTACAAAATTTAAACACGATTTTTAATTTTGATATTATTTTCAATATTATTATAATATTTAACTTATCAGAATGCGTCAATATATAAAGATTAAAAATATATTTCTCCACCAAAGTAGACATTAATAATTATGTAATTATATTACGGAGCATTTAAAGTAGCTTAAATGTCTAAACAATGTCGATAAAAATGTCCAAAAAAAAGAGATGTGCAAGCTTAACATTTTAATCTGCAATATCTGATTGCATATCTGATTATATCACGTTTCTCTGGATGAACAATGTCGAATCAAACGATCTCATTTGGGATTCTCTCTTGTATCCCCAAGCCAATCGTCATCACCACTTCCGTCCGCATTTTCCAGGCAGCGTGTTCCGCGGTACGTTTTCGCGCGTCCGCGTTACGACGTAGCGTAATCCGGTCGAAAAGCCGGTTACGCTCGTCCTCATTAACTCGCCTCAACAATGAGCGTGGGTGTCGGCGTAGTACGTCCTTTCAACCCCCGTCGACATCCACACCCTTCTCGAGATTCATAGGGCGCACGCGCGAACTCCCTCCTC